TCTCTCTCTCTCCTATTTCTAACGGAGGACCGATGTTTGTTGGGTTTTTATAATGGGGCAAAAGAAAAGCACAATCTGGTTCAGATTCCTGAAAGAAATGCTCATCCTGGTGCTGCTACTGCTATCAGAGGGAAAGTTTCCATCACAGGGTTCCATTTTGATTCCTCGGAGTACTTCGATACGATTTTAACACGACAAATTGACGGACCATCCTCAAGCGTATAGAAATCAACAAAGTGTTAGGCTGGATCAAAAATTACTCTCCAAATACAGAAAGTTGCGGAAGTCCATTTGAGGCGTGTTTCGGGCAAAAATATAATACGAACACACGACTAACAGACACACGCTCGCGCGTAAGCACAAAACACACAAAGCAGCGCAGCAAAACCAATAGTATATTCACTACTTTTGAACGCCAAACTAAACTACACTGCTGCTATGTTAACTTCTGGATGGGAACTGCCCTTTCAAATTATTGTAGGAACTGGATTTTTAATTCAAATGAGAAACGACTGCCAAGAAATATGATCCCTATAGTGTACAGTTCGGAAGCGAAGGAAATTCAAAGGTCGTTGGCGCTTGTCAAATATGCTACATACGTAATGCTTATTGTTAAACATAATCTATTGAGGACACATTATAACGACCAGGGTGAATTGTATAGAAATATTAGGGGAGTGTCGATGGGTTCCGACGAAACATATTTTCAACCAAATCTCTCTCTTTCTCTCTCTCTCTCTCTCTCTCTCTCTCTCTCTCCCTCCCTCCTTCCCCCCGTTCTCTATCCCTCTCTCCCCCTCTCCCTCTCTCTCTCGCTCTCTCTTAATCTCTCTCTGTCTCTCTCTCTCTGTCTCTCTTTGTCTCACTATTTTCCCTCTGTCCGTCTCTTTCTCTCTCTCTCACTCTCTCTCTCTCTCTCTCTCTCTCTCTCTCTCTCTCTCTCTCTCTCTCTCTCTCAGCACCCACATCCCCCTACCCCTTACCTTTTTCTTTATTTCTGCAAATTGTCAACCAAGCTAGCTATCAATACACATCTTTCTTACAGTCAGTCCCCGACTCGTCTCATCTATTTTCCACACTATTGTTCTAGGATCTCTCTCTCTCTCTCTCTCTCTCTCTCTCTCTCTCTCTCTCTCTCTCTCTCTCTCTCTCAC